TACTTTAAGCTGTCCGTTAGCCATTAATTGTAATTAGTTAGTGATATTTTCATATAAAGCTCTAGCTTTGTAACAGAAATCAGCAACAATTATTACAAAGTTGGTTAATGCATTTCTCTCTCCTTCCTTTCGGTTATACTTTCTCCTTGTCTCTCTTTTTCCTTTTCCTCTCACACACACTCTCTCTTGTCATCCCTCCCATCTAGCACCTTTACTCTTGGATTCCGGTGGATATTCCGGCCATTAGAATCTCAGGCCCTAACATTTGATATCAGAGCAGCCGATCCTTGGCTTCTATGACACTTCTATGGCTGAGAACACCAGATACCGATCATTGGAGGAACAGCTTAAGAGGCAAGAAGGCAAACTGCAAGAGCTGACGGAAAGCATGGCCACATTTCAGACCTTCGGCCATGAGGAATTACAGTGGAAGCTTTACATTGAAATCGAACAAAGTAGTTCAAGGTTGGAGGCGGTAGTAGGAACCTTGGATCAGAAATTCAATAAAATGGAGCAGAAGCTCAGCGCGTTCTTGAAGGTGATAATGAAGGAGAAAGGAGTCGTGGACGGTGAAGACGGAGCATCGGAGCCCCTCCTACTAACACCTCCCTCACATTTGAGGTTGATGTCCCCAACAAAGCCGCCAAACCACCAGCAAGAGTCTGGAGCAAGAACGCATCTGCCTAATCTGCCAAGGATGGAGATCTCCACATTTTCTTCAGGTAACCCTAGGGAGTGGTTGAGGAAGTGCCAAAAGTACTTCCTGAACTACCAAATTCCCGCGAGGCAGAAAGTCGATTTAGTTGAAATGTTTTTAGAAGGGAAAATCAACAATTGGTTTCAGGGGGTGAAACTGGCTAGGCCTAAGTTGTCCTGGGAGGAGTTTGGGGAACTGTTGTGTGAGAGGTTCTCTGGGAAGGGTTCCCTTGATGTAGTGGGAGAATTCAACAAATTATAGCAAAAAGGGACAGTGGAAGAGTACGAAGAAAAGTTTGAAGAACTAAAAACACTAATGCTAATTAGAAATCCCAGACTAGATGAATCTTATTTCGTTTCCAGCTTCATTAGCGGTCTCAAAGATGAGATCAAGACCATGGTTAAGATGTTTAAACCTCAATCCTTGCCTAAGGCATTTGAGGTAGCCGAGTTGCAGGAGTATGCCCTGGAAATTCAATCTAGATAGTTCAAACCTCCTACCAATGTAGCTCTAGAACCCAAGTTTGGTATGTATAGAAACCAGGCAAGTGGTTAGAACCATCCCAATCCTTACAAACTTCTGGCAATTGTCCCTAACACTAGGAGGACTGAGTCAATACATAAGGAGGTAGGAAGGATATCAGCGGAAGAACTACAGTATCGGCGAAAGCATAATCTGTGTTACAGATGTGGTGAGAGATTTGGGGTGGGACATCAGTGCAAGCCTGGAAATCTAAACTGTATTGGAATTGAGGAGGAGGAAGAGGCAATGTTTGAGGACGCAGTAGGAGAGCAAGATGAACAAACAGGTAGGATGGGCGAGCTTGTAGAAGTGTCATTGAATGCATTGTCAGGGGCCACAGGAGGAAATCGATAATGTTGCTGGGTAATATGGGGGCTTACCAGTCAAGATCATGGTCGACACCGAGATCTCTGATAGCTTCATCCACCATAGGCTAGCCAGTTTGTTGCACCTGCCTTACCAAACTGTGAATCCCTTCATTGTAACACTAGCGGATAGGACAGATATCACAAGTGGAACCATCTGTCCTAAAGTAGCACATCATATACAGGATTATCATTTCCAATTCGATTTGAAGGTGATGGAACTAGGAGGATGGGACATCATCCTTGGGGTAGACTGGGTGTGCCAATTTAGTCCTATCACCTTTGACTTCCACACTCTCAGTATAGCCCTCAGCAGTAAGGGGGAGTTACTCCATCTCCAAGGATTTATTAACCAGCCTACAATGGAGCTAGTAAGGGGAAAAGATCTCAGGACATTCATTCAGGAGAAGCGCAGGGAGAGTGCATCCCTCTATATGGAGCTTAAAGGTGATCAGATAGGAGACATCCTAGAGCCAGTAGAGGAGGTCCTACATCAATATTCCCAGGTGTTTGCTACACTAACAGGTCTACCTCAAGAAAGGGAACTAGATCATCAAATCAACCTCAAACCAGGAGCTGAACCTTTCAAGCTCAAACCTTACAGGTACCCTCATTCCCACAAATCTGAAATTGAGAAGCAAGTAGCTGAAATGCTCACCAACGGGATCATTATACATAGTACAAGTCCATTTGCCTCACCTGTGTTGTTAGTCAAGAAGAAAGACAATTCCTGGAGGCTGTGCATAGACTATAGGAAGTTGAATGACATGACCATTAAAGATAGATTTTCCATCTCTAATATTGATGAGTTACTGGACGAATTGCATGGCACCAAATACATGTCTAAACTAGATCTCAGAGCTAGCTACCACCAATTGAGAGTTAAAGCAGTAGACACAAACAAGACTACTTTCCAAACATACCATGGACACTTTGAGTTCCTGGTAATGCCCTTTGGGCTAACAAATGCACCAGCCACGTTCCAATCATTGATAAACAGGATATTTCAGCTTTTCTTGAGGAAGTTTGTGATAGTATTTTTCGATGACATCCTGATCTATAGCCCTACTTTAGAGTTACATGTACAACATCTGCAAGCAGTTCTTAAGGTTCTGATTGAAAACTAGCTCTATTGTAAGAAATCTAAATGTTCATTTGCTCAGACATCTATAGAGTACTTGGGACATGTGATCTCTGATGTTGGGGTGAGTATGGATTCAGCCAAAGTTGATTGCATCAGGGCCTGGCCTATACCTAAGACAATCAAGGAATTGAGGGGTTTCCTAGGATTGACTGGGTATTATGGAAGCTTTATCAAGGGGTACGGGCTGATCTGCAAACCTTTGACACAACTACTTAAGAAAGAAGGATTTGTATGGGACCATAAAGCTCAGATGGTCTTCGAGGACCTCGAGATAGCCATGACTATTGCACCAGTACTGAGCATGCCCAACTTTGAGCTTCCTTTTTTAATCAAAACTGATGCTTGTGGCATGGGAATTAGAGTAGTTCTAATGCAGCAAGGCCATCCCATCGTATTCCTCAGTAAGGCCTTGTCTTCTCAGAACTTGGGATTGTCTATGTATGAAAAAGAACTTTTTGCTTTGGTGCTAGCAGTTACCAAATGGAAGCACTACTTGGTGGGCCACCACTTTGTCATAAAGACGGATCACTAGGCTCTCAAGCACTTACTGGAACAAAGGCTTACACATCTCTAGCAGCAGAAGTGGCTCACCAAATTGCTAGGCTTGGATTACGAGATTCAGTACAAGAAAAGCTCAACAATGGAGCAACGGATGCGCTATCTAGAAGGAGAGTGGAGGAAACCAGTGACTACCATACCTCCGCACATCACATGTGTGCCATTTCCACAGTACAACCAGCTTGGATGCAGGAGCTGGTTGAGAGTTATGAGGGTGACCCAGTAGCTCAGCAGAAGATAGCTCAACTGCTCATAGACTCCACTACTGACCCTGATTATCACTTGGACCAAGGGTTACTGAAATTTAAAGAGAAGTTATATGTGGGATCTGCCAACAATATTAGGCACGATTTAATCAAAGCATTGCATGATTCGGCAGTGGGAGGACACTCTGGTCAGCGAGGGTGCTTACAGAGAATACAGGCTCTTTTTCACTAGTTGGGGATTAAGAAGGACGTCATTCAGTTTGTACAATCCTGTGACACATGCCAGCGTAATAAGCACGAGACTGTCCCTTACCCTGGACTATTGCAACCCATCCCCATACCTCAGCAGGCTTGGTCACACATTTCCATGGATTTCATTGAGCAGCTGCCCTCATCTCAAGGCTATGATACCATCTTGGTAGTGGTGGATCGCCTCACCAAATTCAGTCACTTTATACGACTCACACACCCTTACATAGCCCAACAGATAGCCAATGTTTTAGAAATCGGACCGTTGATTGAACCGGTGAAGTGAAAGGGTCGAGTTCAATCGGTCGGACCGGTTCAACTTTGGTTCAATGAATTTTTTAAAAAATAATTTATATAAATATGTATATGCACAAAATAAGACATGTAATGGACTAATTTAATACTTTACATGATGAAAAGTTTATTATTTTTGAATAATTTGGATTTTTAAAAATAAATTATTTATTTTTGAATTATAAGTTAAAACAAATAAATTTCATCTCAATTTCAATTATATCTACCAAAAAATTTTAAATCCAACCCCAAAATATCACAATATTTTAAAATTATACAAAATTCACGTCTATGAGAATTTAGACATTGTGAACTTAAATTTTAATTTACGTTTTGGGATTTAAAGATTGTTATTTAAAAAAGAAAGTTTGGAGTTCGAAAGAAATCTAGAAAATTGAAAATAGAAATGCAAACTTGATAAGAAACAAAAAATGAGATAAAAGTAAGTGGTTGTGGCATTAAATAATTTGGATTAAAAAAATAATTCTTTTTAACTTTTTTAATTTAATGGACAAAAATAAAATTAAAAGATGTAAGAAAACATCAATAAATTAAAAATAAAGATGTTTAATTAAAAAGAGAGTGACAAAAGAAAAGAGGATAGAGAGAAAGAGAAAGAGAGAGAGAGAGAGTTCAAAATTAAAAAGAAAGAGTCATGAGAGAATGGGATATTGTAAGAAAAATGGAAAAAAGAAATATGAGTGTTTGTTTTATATAAATAAATTATAAAAAAATTAATAAGATGTGATAGTGTAATGGTTACTATATTGGTTTTCTATTATAAATGTCATGAGTTCGAATCTTGAAAGCTACATTTTGCAAAACGTAAAAAAAAATAATAATAATAATAAAACTCGAAAATCGGAAAAAATCGGTTCAATCCGGTTTCGACGGTTTCACGGTTGGATTGATTTTTTACCGATTTTCTAGCATGATCAACCCTAACATATAACCGGACCGGTGCCATGGCCGGTTCGCGGTTCAACCAGTCGAACCGGCCGATTCGATCCGGTTTCAAAACATTGCAGATAGCTCAGGTTTTCCTTGACATTGTTTACAAGCTACATGGCTTGCCAGAGTCCATCATTTTGGATAGGAACAAGATCTTTATTAGCAGATTCTGGCAGGAGCTGTTCCACATGCTAGGGATTAGCTTACACTATAGTTCTTCTTATCATTCTCAATCCGATGGGCAAAATGAGAGGGTAAACCAATGCTTGGAGAACTACCTCAGGTGCATGTGCAGTGACTATCCTACTCACTGGAGTAGTTGGTTACCCACGGCAAAACTATGGTACAACACCAACTTCCATACCAGCTTGAAAGTTACTCCTTTTGAAGCACTGTACGGGTATAAACCAAACCACATTCCTCTTGGGCCATTTCATGATAGTGTTATACCTGCTGCAGCTAGCATGTTGCAGGATAGACTCCAAGTACTGTTCCTTATCAAAGAGAACCTAGCCAAAGCGTAGAACCGCATGAAGTTTTTTGCAGACGAGCACAGGACAGAGAGGACTCTACAGGTTGGAGACTGGGTATTCCTCAAGTTGCAGCCGTATAGACAGCAGATAGTGGCCATCCGAAAGAGTTTGAAGCTCAATGCTAAGTTCTATGGACCCTTCTAGATCGTGGCTAAGGTTGGGGCAGTCGCCTACAAGTTGTTACCACCTGACAAAGCTAGAATCCATCCCGTTTTCCATGTGTCTTTATTGAAGAAGAGAGTTGGGAACACCCAAGCTGTTGAGCCTACCTTACCAGCTATAGATTCAGCTGACCAATGCTTGCTGGAGCCTGAGAAAATCCTCCAGAGGAGAGCTACCATGAGGAACTCGCAGCCTGTGATCCAATATCTGGTGAAATGGAATCACCTGTCGGAATCGGAATCTTCTTGGGAGGATAAGTCTTTCATTGACAAGCAATTCCCAAACTTTCAAGCTTGAGGACAAGCTTTGCCTTAAGGGGAAGGAATTGTCAGGAACTGATTTTTGGCATAGTGTCGTTTAATTCAATAAAGCATGCATTTTAGCCAAAGGCACTGAAGGATGCACGAAACGATGTCGTCCTACTTTAAGCTGTCCGTTAGCCATTAATTGTCGTTAGTTAGTGATATTTTCGTATAAAGCTCTAGCTGTGTAACAGAAATCAGCAACAATTATTACAAAGTTGGTTAATCCATTTCTCTCTCCTCCATTTCGGTTATACTCTCTCATTCTCTCTCTTTTTCCTTTTCCTCTCACACACACACTCTCTCTTCTCATCCCTCCCATCCAACACCTTTACTCTTGGATTCCAGTGGATATTCCGGCCATTAGAATCTCAGGCCCTAACAATGCCAAGGCCATAGATGAGGCTTATCTCCAAATTAGGAGAGTTGTTATTAATTGACAAGTGAACGAACTATCAAATTTATCCTTCGTAACTTCATAACATGAAATAATCACCAAATTTTTATCAAGAACTCATGGGATAATGACCAGATAGTCATCTTTATCAGGAATTCATGAAATAATCATCAAAGGGTTCGTTCATTATGATCCATTCATACTCATCTATATCTATATGTATTCAAGAAGGGGTTTTTAGCAGAAACCCTCTCAATGACTTCTAAATTTCTTATTTTTTTTTCTAGATTTTTATATTTATTTTAATACATAAAAAGTAGTGGGTTATAACCCACCTTATCACCAATCAAATTTAAATTTAAAATATACCCACTATCTCTTAACTCATCCTACAACCACTCCTACAAATCCTCTAATCATCATCCCACGTTTCTCCCCATGTTTGCACTTATCAAAATTTTGTTAACACAGTTTGACAGTAGCTCGATTCATATTGTGGGATAAATTTGCTAATGATGATGATGAACGGTTATATCAGTCTGCTACAAAAAATAATATTTTACTAGCATGTGGTATTTCCGTACGAAATTTCAGAAGTAAATCAATTGCTTTTACTTATATTCTATATATTTTGAATAGCTTTTGAGCTAGCATAACCATACTATGCAGGTCCATCACTGTGTACAATTGGAGCTAGCAAATTGTATATTAATCACAATTTAGATTTTGCTCGATACCTGCGCAGTTAGTGAGTTCTTCATTAACACTATATCAAACTATTAATATTGTTTCGTACTCTTATTGACATTTATTTCAAAAAAATTGCAGGTTTGAAAATAATACATGTGCCTACAAGTTAGTTACGTGGTTGAGATCAAGCAATTTCACAACACCATAAGCACTGTTGATAGCAAATTCAAAGAGAATATGGATATCTGAATATACAATCATGCCTACGGTAAGCTTACTTAATTTTAATTAATTACTGAATGAATTTTTTTAATTTATTATTATAACCTATATCTTTTTTCATTCTTATTAGGTTAAATATTTTCGAATACTTGCTTACATTCAGAGTATTAACATATAAAATATGTTCTACGAGCTATGCAAAAATTGTGGATAACTATGTGAAGGTCATTTTTCAAAAACAATGTATATATATTGTAATGACGCGGTTGACACTGTTATTAGGTAGTTAATTTCATGTATATTTAACTTCAATATATTTTTTTGTATTGCATATAATATTTTATTTGTCAAATAGTTACAATATTAACATACAAATCAGAAATTCCACTGGTAACATGCATCTTAATCTACAAGACAGACATGCACGATTTGTATTTGGTTGTGATGCTTCTTATCTTAGAGAATTACAAAGGAAAATAGAATTTCTTAATATATATTTATTTTTTATAGTACTATTTATAAACTATATAAAAAAATACACTAATTTCGTACGTTCTTAATTATCAGGAAAATGGTGATAGGTTGTTCAACCAACGAGTTAATTCATGCAAAGATCATGCATTTTTATTTATAGTACGCACTCCACAAAATTCAACAGAGTTAATTAAATCATCAATTTTGGTTTTTGTACTAAAAGTGGATTGGTGTGAAGAGTGTTCGCACCTTCAAACAAAATTATCAAATCGAATGCTTAGTATTTGTAAGTATTTCATTTTAACAACATTCAATTACATTCATTTGTAGAAATATATCATTCCCTTTTTTAATATAAATTTTTTTTCAGGACCCATCTTCCGAAAAAAGACAGTTCTTGAATGATATACACATTCTATTATATTTCAAACTATTGTTAAACAGATATTACATTTTAATTTTGTTGGTTCAATTTTTCACTTTTATTTGTTCGCCATTTTATTTTTATTTTTTTCAATAATGTCAGCACCGTGCGTAGCACGGGTATTCACACTAGTGGATAGTGACCAGATAGTCATCTTCATTAGGAACTCATGGGATATCATCCAAGGATTCATTCATATGATCCATTTGTTCGTATAAATACAGATACAAACCAGATCATTTGATACTCAATCAACTCTTTACTTCCTTTTTAAAATTACTTTTTTTAAAAAAAAAATTATCAATAACTCGAAAACTGACTTAACTCTCTTAGAAACTGACTTGATCTTGGGGATTAGACACCAGTCCTTTGACAACCAACTTGATCCTAAGGATTAGACTCTAGTCCTTTAACAACCCCTTTCCTCACAAGGACTAGACCCTAGTCCCTTGACGACCCCTTCCCTCCGATCTTTGACAACTCCGTCCATTCGGTCTTTGACAACCCCTTTTTGTGTGCAGGTTATATTCATGAACTACGGTCCTTTAACAACCCCTTTGTATGTGGGTCATATTCATGAACTATGGTCCTTTGTTTGCAGGTCGTATTTATGAATTGATTAGTGTATATAGGTCACAATGATGAACTGATCAAAAGGTTAGTTGATGTGTTCATCTCATTCTAATAGGTCTTGGTGGTAATATTCTACCTCGTAGGGTCTTGATGATCACAAGGTCAAGATTCCAAGGTTGATCAATGTGTTCATCTCATCCTGACAAGTCGTGATGATAATATTCTATCTCGTGGGATTTTGACGATCACACAATTGGTCTTCTCGTGGGGTTTTGATAATCACACGACTGGCTTGTCAAACGCACATCACCCAGGTCGACCTGGTGAAGTGCCTAGGTCAGTTTAGGCAAGCATGGTTGTCTCAACAACTCAACTCACTCGGCTAAACCATCCAAATCAGTTCATCCCATGATTTTTTTCTATTTTTTTAGTAGCCACTCCATTTTTCCTTCTTCGAATTCTTCGTATACATACATGCATCAACAATTTTGGGATTGCCTTTCACAAGGGGAAGGGGAAAAAATAATAAAAACAGATTGAATTATCATTACAAAATTAAACAGAATTCTTTCTCAAAGAAGTCGCTTGTCAAAAAAGAAAAAGAAATTTATCCCTTAAATGATTACAACTGCTTTGTCAAAGATCTCAACACAGAAACTATCTTGATAATAATAGTCTATTTAATAGCATACGGCTCCACGATATCAAGCTTCAATATAAACAATGATTTTTATTTGACAGAATTAATCCTAGCTAGTGAGTTAAAGAGTGCAAACTATTTTTAAGTGAAAACAAATCCTAAGACACCATGTAACCCTAGACGCACGTAGACACTTTAAACTAACATAATTAAACACGAAAGATGAGAGACTGTACGAGAATAGCCTTCTAATTGGCTCCTGAACTACTGCGCCACAAGACGGGTTGCAATTGGAATGTATCCATCTTGAGAAAAATCAATAAGGGGCATAATACCTGGAAGAATTTTCCGCACCATACCGACCTAACCTAGAGCAAGAAATATTTTTTGCCAATGCCGCCTTGTAAACTCTTCCACCACAATCAAAATTATTGTAAAGTGGCCTGCATCCATTCGAGAGCTTAAAATTCTTGGTGTGACAAAGATTGGGTCTATTGTAACTTACCTGGTGCCCTTGAAACCTGCATGATGTCGGTAACATCATTGGGTTTGGAGAAAGCCCTAGCTGCATGACTTTATTATTTACAAGACGAGATTTACCCAAGTATTTTTCTTGGTAATAAACTGTCGAAAGCCTCGGCGATTTGAGATTGGGACAGGAAGTTAACGTGGGCTGTGATTTGATTGAGGGCTTGTCTTGGTACTGCCCAGAAATTGAGAATTTTAATGTTCTGTTGAAGAGAGTTACGAGGCCAGAAAAAAGTTTAACAGCATATTCAGCTGCTTCTTCTGTTACATATTCTGCAAAGGCAAAACCTCTCAGCTTATCAGTTTCTTTATGCCGAGGAATATTCAAGTTCACCACTGGCCCTGCTTGAATGAGGATATCATACAGTACCCTTTCCTTCACCCTTTCGTCTAGATTTCCTATGTAAACAGTGCATCTACAGTCGTCAGCCATCCTCCAAAGGAAAAAAAAAACTGCTGATTCTTGGGAGATTTGAGAAATTGAACCCTAAGGGGGAGTGTTAAGAATTTAATCTTGAGATGAACTATGAAAATTTTGGAAACCTGTAGTCAAGCGTGGATAAAGAGGGTCAAATTTATACTATTTGTCGATGATAGCGTCGGAAAGAAAGACTTCTTGTTCGATATGAATGCTGAGAGGAAAAATGTCACCGACTTTAAATCCTTTTCAGTTTGGGATCTAAAATCATGTTGGTTGCGCTGCATGGATTTGATGGCATGCTTCCTTTTAACGGGTTATATTTCCTTTTTTTCCGCCCCCCATTCTTCAATGAGTTATATTTCTTCTTATAGAACGTTTTTTTCGATGTCACATAGTATCACTTCTTTCAAGGGGTTGTTTTCTCTTGTGATGGTGATCAATCTCTTGATGTTTAATTGGCACCTTCCTCACAAAAGAGTGTTAAATATTTTTTTCATACATACAAGGGACGTAAATCTGGAAGAAATTTATGTGTCAATACTTTGCTCCACTTTCAAAGCCACTTTTTTTGGGCTAAAATTGTTATCAAACATGTTATTTAAGGGTATGCTAGTGTAATTTACAGT